AACCGCTCAATATTGACAGATTAGTCATTTCCGAGACTGTCAACAACAAAATATATTTAAATGATGTACAAATAACGGGACTTTGTAATTACATTGTAAAATCTGTAGATGTAGATATCGACAAGCTTAATTTCAATTTTGAAGTTTCATTGAATCGGCTTTACTTGAATGGCACGTATGATATCAACGTACGTATACTCGTGCCCATTGCTCATAATGCACCTATTTATATTACTGCAGGTATCTAAAATAATTAGTTTTGTATTAAAATAAGGTAGAAGCTTTAGAGGCATTTGTATGTGTTTGTGTGTGTGTGTGTGTGTGTGTGTGTGTGTGCACATACTCCAATATAAAAAATAAAAAACTCGACATTATTTCATTTGATAATTAGATTGTATATCTTCTTGTAGATAACATAAACTCAAAGATAGCCTTACAAGCGGAAATGACAACTTATAAGGACAAAAAACATATGTATATATCAGAAGTAAAGATGTCCACCGATATTAAAAAATATGACGCTCAATACGGTTTGAAGGAAAATGAAATAAGTCAATTGGGCCAAATTCTTGGCGGTCTCATAGGCAGCAATCAAGAAGAATTTATTCAAAGATTGACGCCGCCATTAGACGAGGAAATCTCCAAATGGCTTCTTAAAATTGTCAACAACATAATGAAAATGTACTCTTACGACGAACTTTTTCCGGACCGAACTTAAAGAATCTAAGAGTTCTTTAAGTTACATCGTTATAAAATATTCATTGCAAAATAAAAGTAAAAAAATTGCAATATTATATTCTATTATATATACACATGCATGTGTAGATTATTCTTTTACACGAAATAAATACGTTGTTATAAGCTAATTCTCACAACACAACATTAAATATTGTGTATTATTTATTTTCGTTATCTTGTGCAATATTGAAAAAAAAAACTATTATAATTAAATATTATGTCACAATGTTAATGATAATTTTAATAAAAATGTTTTCTAAAATGCAATTGAATATTTGATTATAAAAAATACGTCTCTATTTTGACTTACAACGTATACAAATCGAAAGAAATCAATTGAAAACATTTTCCTTGTTAAGTATTTGAAATCTAATATCGATTTTCAGCTTCATCAATTGCGTGTTAAATGTCATATTCTGTCTGATATTTTCTGATATCCTGTATTATTATTGTAATCAAAGCGTAATTGTAATCAAAAAATGACACTCAAATAGTTTCAGATATTTTTTCTTTTCTCTTTTTTATATTAATCAACTTAAAAAAAAATTAAAATTGAAATCTAAATCTTTCCAAACAAATAGTAGTTTTATTGAAATTTATGTGGATATCTTATTTAATCGTTCTTTTAACTATTTAGGCCATTGTGATTCTTAAGCGCTCAAGAGATGATATAATTTTTTTACGTAGTCTTTCTTTTATTAGCATTTTTGTTTAAAAGAGCATTAAAATATTTGTAAACTCGGAATACATATAGCACAGTTATAAAGTTAGAATATTTTAACTTAATTGACGTGTTAAAGAAAGAGAGAGAGAGAGAGAGAGAGGAAGAGGAGAGAGAAAGAGAGGGGGAGAGGGAGAGAGGGGAGGGGGAGAGTTGATAATGAAAAGAAGAACTCTCATTTATATGTTTTAAAACATATTTATATAATCAACAATCTTAAAAAAGTTTTTTTATTGATTTATTAGTGTGCTAACATGCTAATTGTGAAATTAAATTATACTAAAAATATGTTTATATTATTTATTTATTATTTTCCAGATTTTTAACTATTAAGCCTCTTTTTCCATATTTATCTCGTTTATAAATTTTTGCATTTAAATTGAATATCAATATTAATTCAGAATAATAATTGTGTATGTATTATTAGATGATTTATATAACTTCTTCGTACTTTGCGGCTCTCTCTCTCTCTCTCTCTCCCTCTCTCTCTCTCTCTCTCTGTCTCACTCTTTCTAAAAGTGTATTCCAGTAAATGCCACTTTTTTAGAAGAGACATTTATTGCGCTATTGTAATGTAGTATCGACATATCAAGAATGTTAACGGGGAAGCGAAAGGTGTTAGCAACAAAGTTAAACAACATTTTCTGCACTTTTTGACGGACAACACTTTAATATTAATATTATGCTCTGATCTTTAATACCATTTCCTTATAAATTTCAGAGTACGTCTTGTAAACATTGTTAAATATTTTGCATATTCTGAAGCTTAATCGGAATCGTACATCTTTGGTAAAATGTCAAGATCATCCAGTTTTAGAATTGTTTTTACATAATAATACCGATCATTTATCTATTATTTGATTCTCACACAGGTCAGTTGATATTAATTTTCGGCTCCCGATTTTACTTTTTTAACATATTATATATAGTTTACGCTATGCGTAAACTATAGAAATAATATTTTAAAAAAATGATATTTAATAAAAAATCCTTATTATCATAGTAACTTTTAATTATTAAAAGCAAATATTCATTATTCAATGCTATGCAATAGTGCATAGTACTAAATGATAATGTTTGACTCTACTTAAAAACATGGAAACAGAACAAAAATTCTTGCATTCTTTTTGTTGAAAAAAATATTTTGTTTTAAATGACATAAAAATGGCACAAAACTCTATCTATAGTATTATATAGAAAAAAAATACGCGCAGAGATGATGACGAGATATCACTGACATTTTTCAAATTTTATGTATATTTTAATATTTCAACAAAAAAATAGGCTATAAACATGTATTTATGTATGAAAAATTAAGTTTTAGTTGCTGTACATCTTCTTTAATCACTAGTCGGTTATAACAAGATTTAATATAATACAAACATTTGTTAAATAGAATATTTTTTTTTTATCAATTTGAGTGCGGAAGATTTTAGATTTTATGCATTTTTTATTTATTACTAGAATCATTTACCCAACTCTGGAACGAGAACGAGTATGACCGTGAGCTTAGAAAGAATGAATCATGGTCAAGAAGAGAAAGAAAAAGACTGGTTACTAACTCGATAAAAGGAGATATAAAACAGTATATATACAAGCTTGATCAGTGAGTTGAGTCAGTCTTAATTCTCACGTTCACCGCGAATCTGTGAAAATCATTTTGATATTTTAGGAAGTTTAATATTTTAGGAGGTGTATTTCGTGCCAAGAAAAATTCTTCTGTGAGAAATGTATGCTGCAATCTTTACTTTCGCACTTATAGTAGCACAAGTTGCAGCAGAAATACGTAAGTAAAAAGATTTATCGAAAAAAGATTATATATTTCTATTACACGACATGCGATTTCTGTGCTATATTATTCGTAAACTTGTCATATTATTCGAAACGAATTGTAATTAAGAAAAATATTTTAAATATTATTTCCTAAATTAGATTATTCTTATAAATAATTAGAGAACTTAGCGAGCTAATTCGTTTTTACGAATAGTGAGATATAATATCGATTAGAAAATCTATTTTAGATGAACAACTGTAATTTTAAAGTATAAAAATTGTGAATAGTTATAAATATATTTGTCATAAATTATAATTATCTAAAATATGATTAAAATATACAGCATAATAGCAAAAGTGCATTGCAAACAGCATGCTTCTAGGCATTTATTCAAGATGACAATATCAAAAATCGGTTTTGATAAATAATTTTTATCTCGCGTGTTTTAGGGTACGACACATAAACATTTAGAAACAAAATATTTTATAAAGAATTTTTGAAACGTGATAATAATTATTTTCTTATTAACTACACTACTCATATACTAAATTATTTTGTATACGTCATTCTTTCATTGAAGTTTTGTACTGCGTTATATATATAAAAGATTTATTTTTGACACTTATTTTAAAAAAAAATTGTGTTATTAATTTAATATTATTTAATATTATATATCTCACATATAGACACACACTTAATATTATATTATAAATTAATATTAGCAATTGCATCAAAAATTACACATTATTTTGATATACATGTATGATTGCTTTATTCAGACAATAGAAATAAATGAAGCTCTAAATATTATAATATAAATTACAAAGAGAATGAGTTAGTAAGAGCCAAGCGGAAAATAACAAGCGCAAAAAATAATAAGACTTCCTCATGATCCTGATTATTATCATTGTTTGCGCTTATTATCTCGCGCTTGGCTATTACTAGCCCGTTCTTTTATACTGTTTTATTCAAACTCGCTTTATATATACTAACAGTGTTACATTTAAAATCATAAATTAATAAATTTGATTTAAACTTTACAGCCTCTTACATTAATGTATGCGGCCGCAGAGATCCAAATCTCAATCAATGTATTATAAACAACGTAAACGATTTGAAGAGTAAGATTTGCGAAGGAATTCCGGAATTGGACGTTCCACCTAATAACCCACTCGTCATTGACGAACTAGTCATTTCCGATACAACCAACACCAAATTATATATGAGAGATACGAAAGTGGGAGGTCTTTGTGATTTCACCATAAAATTCTTTAATTTTGATCTCAATACACTTCACTTTGATGCTAATATCTCATTCGGACTAATTCAAATGAATGCCACATATGATTTTGACGTACGTATACTAGTACCCATTGCTCATAAGGGACAGGTTTACATTACTACAGGTATGTAAAATATAGTTGATTTTCTATTAAAGAGTTTAGAGAAAAATCTATTCTAACGTAAAAAATTCAAAACTCGTTTTTACACTTCACCGCAATTAACAGACTATTCATTTTTTTGCAGATAAGGTCGACGCGCAAGTGGACATAGACCTGAAAGTAATCACTAAAGCCGCTAAAAGATACATGTATTTGTCGAAGATAAAGCTCAACGTCGATATCCATGGATACGATGCTAAATACGATTTGAACGAAAGGGAATTTGGTCAATTGACCGAAATTATTAACAATTTTATAGGCAACAATCAAGAAGAGGTTATTAAAAGCTTTAAGCCGGTATTAGAAGAAATAATCTCCAAACGGATCCTATTGGTTTCCAACGATATAGTTAAACACTTTACCTATGAAGAGCTCTTCCCGGACAGAACATAAATTAATTATTATTCCGTTCTAATCTCCATTGTTGCGATAGTAATCAATAATTAACGTTTATATATATGATTATCTAGCGAAAATAAAACTTGCTTCGTCGAATTTGAAAATGTTGCAACAGATTTTATCGCGATTATTATTTAATAGAAACATAGGAGCAATCTTTTGATAATGCAATTTGAAGTCCAAGGCGATTAAAAATATTTTTTATTTTATCACTTTTCATATAATTATTTTACGTGTAAATACACAATACAATAATACTAAAATGTCAAAGTATTATAATACTAAATTGTCAAGAAGAAATATTCAAATTTATATCTTTTTAAAGAAGGAATGTGATGAAGATAAGGAATGACAATCAATTATTGCTGTTTGTTGTTTCTTTTTTATGATGCCGATTTGGTATTTTGCTATATTTACTTCGTACTTATTGTAAATAAATGTCATTGCGGAGATTATGTATATATATATGTATACATATATATAATAGTAATAACCATAAATATTAAGAGAATTAAACAATAATGCGAGCAATTGTGGAAGGTTTGATTATGGCAGACATTAATATAATCTTTAAGATAATCTGTTTTTAAAGAATAAAGAAAATTATAACACGTCTGTCTATTATAACACGGTAGTTTATGTCGATATATATTATTTTGTATTGTAAGCTGTGTATTTTGATAATTTTATAGATGCTGAATATTGTGCGGAATACACCCTCACACACCAAATGCTTTTGTTTTTAGACCCAAATAAACCGGCTTTAAATGTTTCGAAGCATTTGTAGCGTTAACCCTGTGGGTAATTTTACTTATTAAGGATTAATTTGATATTAATTGTCTTGACCGAGATAGCTATATACCTTATTTTTTTTTTCATACACAGATATTTTGTTATTTCACATCTCTTGTATAAAATGTTACCTGCAAGTAGGAAAGGGGAAAAAATCAGATTTCTTTTGAAGTTTTAAATATTTATAAACAATAATCAAGATATATATATAAAAGAGAAAGAAAAATATAAATTAAAAATTTATAATGATCTATAATAACATAGTGTTTATATGCATAATAATAAGCTAAAAACAAAATTAGTTGGCCAATAGAAATGAATGTTAACTGAGCTGTAAAATTTAATAGAGTGATCGGTATGTGTGTACGAGATATGCATACTGATCACTCGCATAATTATTCTAAACGTGCAAACTCTAGTTGACGCTAATAATTTGATTTAATCGATTGCAATTGATAACATTTTATATTATTATGTGACATTCTTTTATATTAGAATTTTCTAATTAATCTCCATACAATTTTTAAAAATATATACGATTAAAGTATTTTATTTAACATATTATATTTACCATAAATTATTTGTGATTATATTCTACTCTCTAAAAAATATATATACTACACACATATTTTAAGCTAATATCTAATACTAAATTTTTTAAATATAATTTTACTTAATATTTATTATAAATATTAGCTAAAATAATAATGTGTGTTAAATAATGTATAACATATATTAATTGCAGTATTTCTTGGATTAAAAAAAATTAGTAAAATTTAATATACCATATTATGATATCTTTCTAATAATCTCAGTAAAAAAAGTTTCGATACGTACATTTAAAACGTGATACAAACAGCTTTTAATCGTAAATATAAAAACCCAAGTATACTTAATCATACTGCTTGCTTATATAAGTTGGGTCATTGGAAATTTTCCAGATTATACAATGTTTTTTGCAATGATTTATATATATGGAATCGATCGTGATGCACTCGATTCTTTATACGCAGTGAAATTATAAAAAACACAACGTGATATATCTTCGTGTTTAATATATTTTCTAATTTCTTACCTCTTGTTATCCTTCCATTTATTGTTTTGTTGAATTTATTCGAATGTATTATGGAAAAATACATTCCTGTAAAGCATTATTCAGCTTTTTGCCTTTTCATTATGATATCACGCTTTAAAACATAAATTTAAAAATATATTAGAATCTAATATAATTAATCTCTAGTTTAATGTATTAGGTCTACCGGAAAGTTCTGTCCGTTTTTGGAATAAAACAAAATACAAATTTTTATTACCGTCAATAAACTTTATTAAATAATGTAATTGCAATTATTATTAATGATTTCTTGCCAGCGTGAGGGCAATTTGTATATCCCATTTTCGAAAAATGTTTTATCTTTTGATACGAAAAATTGAACCAGTGCTTGTTTGATATCTTCTTCATTTTTGAATTTTTTGCCCCTCAAAAAATTTTGTAAAGACAAAAACAAGTGATAGTCGGAGGGTGCTAAGTCCGGGGAATATGGTGGATGCGACAGAATTCCCCAGCCTAGTTCTGCAATTTTTTGACGAGTCCCCAAAGCAGCATGTGGCCTAGCATTATCATGATGCAGTATGATGTTCCTCCTATTGAACATCGCCGGCCTCTTTTCTTGGACTGCTGTATTTAAATTATCCAGTTGCTGACAATACTTCTCCGAATAATGGCAATTACATTATTTAATAAAGTTTATTGACGTTAATAAAAATTTGTATTTTGTTTTATTCCAAAAACGGACAGAACTTTCCGGTAGACCTGATATATATAGTGTGAAATAATACATATTGATTATATTATATATATATACATATACTATATGGTTACAATACATTATTTTTTTATCAACGCTATAAATTCCAATAAATTTGTTAAAATAATAGTTGCTATTGTCTATATTGTATACATAAAAGAATGTACTTATCATGAATGCTTTTTATGATGCATAAAATTATAACAAATATATCTAGCAAATTAAAAATTGTAGAGAACTTTTTAAATAGGTTATGAATTAAAATAGTATCATAATGCTATTCACAAAATGTGATTACTAATATATTATAATTAAAAAAAAACTCGAAAAAAAATTTTGTCACGAAAACAAAGCTTCCTCTATGAGGAAGCAATATATAATGTATTACCTATTTAGTAAAATACACACCCAATTGTGGTCGATTTAAAAAATTCCACAAATTACAAAAACTGGCGAGTTATTTTACCTGCAAATTATAAGTTTAAAAAGGAGAAGAGAACAAAAAAAATAAAAAATACACTACGGTCAACAACTTTATTCAACGATTTATAATTCATTAAGCTTATCGGTATCTCTCGACATGCACACATTAACAATATAAAACAAAATTGCCACGTTATACATCACGCACATATAATTATATTTTATAAAATCTCGTTTAGTGGTCTCGATAAGTTTTTTACAAATTAAATTTTTATTTAAAAATATGATGCTAACTGTGTCGATAAATTATATTTCCATACTTTTATTTAGAGCTTTTACTTGTCAATAACGGATAAAACAAAATCGGAAGCAAGAATTTCGCTGTACAATGTTCTATCGTTGTATTCGCAGAAAAATACTTGATTTTTCACTTTATCAATCAAATATGTTCTATCTAATTCTAGGTGTTTATTTTAGCAGCTCATGTAAATAGTTTCCGTATTTGATAACAAATTCAGATATTACACGCGCGCACATATCAAATTACATAAATTGTTTTCTTTAATAGAATTGTATAAAAAGTTCTTTTCTCATGAAATTTTTAAAATTTATAAAATTTAAATTTATAAAAGTCACAAATATTTTCAAAGACGCATCATTTTATCTATCTTATCTTGATATTTTCTAAAAATTATCATTATTTTTCTATATTTTACAAATACTTAGCTAATTCACCGCTGTTTTAATTTTAAATTAGCAATTAAATAAACAAATCTCGCAAATATTGGAAGACTCTAAATCAGATTCATCAGGAACAATTTGCGCGATCATCAATCATTAATGTTTCAAGAAGTGTTAGAATCTTATTCTGTGTATGCAATCTTGTATTGATGATATTTACAATTCTCCCATTCCCTTCCCTATTTTTTGCCAGAATTGAGTTCTGGGTTACATCAAAATTAAACGCACTATAATATTTCATTGTTAGGGATGCAAACCTTAATCAAGCACGCACACATGCAAAAGGAGGATTCAACGAAGAGAAAAGTAGCGCTAAATTTTCCCTAACTTCTTCTATCGCGCTCTTATAAATGTTGCGATAGATCTTCAAACTTAATCTGTTTTCCAGCCCGTCCTCGATCACCGAGATAGATTTACAAGCCGGGGAAGAGTTGTGTAAACGAGAACTGTTGAACAATATTGTTGCTGATATTTCGAAACGCGTCAGAGAGAGTCATTTCCATCATTGGCAGTATTTCCTTCATAAAGAGATCGAAATTGTTGTTGATGGACGAATTAATAAGATTTCCGAGTACCTGATCGCCATTGAACAGATTGTCTAGTTTCACCGAGCCCTTGCCCACTGAGATTTTCATCTTAAAGTCCACGAAACGAATCCTCACGATGCCGTTTTCGTCAATGTATTTTTCAGCCTGGATCTTGACTACGCCTATAAAAAGAGAAACGATATCGTTATTTTATATACAATAGAGATAAATAAGTACAATATTTTTTACAATTATTATTGCAATAATGATATTGACATATATCACTTTTTGAATTTCAAGATAGCAATCTGTGAGATTGGAATATTAGTGCGATATAATAAATAATGTTATCTTGTACAAAATCGTAAATACTTATGCAGTTGGAGAAGTTGCCGTTCATCGGACCTGATCCGCGAATCGGAAGTAACAATATTTTACCATCGACGTCATACTTCCCTTCAATGAAGATATTGGGCAATTCCACATCCATCACGAGGAACAGTTTGTCAAAGTCGATTCTTAAAAAAAACAACAAATAGCGACATTAAAACGAGTAATAATGTAAGAAAATAGCGAGAGAAGTTCGTTGAACGTGATATCGTGTTGCGTGACATCCTTTTAAATAACATTCACATCCGTACCCGTAATTTCTAATTGTACAATGTTAAATCTTCAGTTAGTTTGTTCATGCAAATCTTCCAAAAAGCAATCCACAATCAGATTTTCTTTTTAATTAATCTAGAATTAACATAGATTTTCACTTAATTGTACAACGGCATAAAATGAACAAATTATGGTTTACAAAGATTTCATCAAACTTTGTTAAACCTATTATTATGATTGCATCTTCATATGACACGCATACATTTCGTATTCTTTTATCTTGAAATTTTAAATCGAAAAGGCTTGATTATTAAGATTTCATACAACGAATTACGTTTATTAGGAAGCCTTGGAAAGTTTTGGCATTATTGTCGAGACTATGAACACAATATATGATACATAATAATGTCATATTGAAAAGTTAACACATTGTGCCTTGTGCGTTTTCTAGTGACAAATGCACGATGGATTATCATAGAAATATTAAACTTCTCTTTCGCAGTTTCCACACATGGAAAGTCATCAATTGACGATTTCAATGGACGACATCGACCTCCTTCATCCGCATTATTACCATGACATTTTAAACTTTATACATCTCTTTTTTTTTCTCCTGAATGTCTTATTCTTACTCGATACTTTGACAAGAGTCCTTTTAAATTTTGCGTGCAACGCGAGGTATGTAATGAGAAACGCTACCGAAACCGTTGTCGTTTCTGTCCATCATTTTCGGGTCCTTATCGATTATTCTTTTTGTAATCTTTACAAAACGGCATTGTTCCCGACGCTTTGCACATATAGTATATATAAGTACATATTTTGAGTGTTTGTGTCACGGCTGTTTGCGCATAGAATACAAATGACAAAACGTTCGTTTCTGCGCGATTTAATGTGTTTTTTTCTATCGCGAGCAATTTTTGCGTTGTGATAATGTATCGTGCCAATAGAAATATATGTTTCAAGGACAATTTCAAATTGCCGAAATTCTGAGGTTCTAAGTATCTTAAGCATCATGGAAAAAATACACTCAAGCAACATTCTCCGCTAAAACTTTGACGTAATATGCTTACAAAACTCTCATTTTTTATGCCTGTTTAAAATTTTTATTTATTTCCTCATTCCTTTTTATCATTATATTTTATCCTTTTGTCGTTATATTAGAATATTTAACTGACAACGAATTAAACTTTTTCTCTCAATAAAATTACAATAAATATAAAAAAATTAAAAGAAGTATATAATAAGTTAGATCAACCGATAAATTCTTTCTTAATAAATGTCAAAGAGTCAAAGTGATGTTGTATGTAGAGCCCGAAACGATGTATGCTACAGGAGGAAGGCGTATAAAAACGTCATACGAGTATATGAAAAAGTCAACGACAGAAAAAACAATATGTGCACAATTATCTCTTTCATAACTATATGTAATCTAGTTGGATTAATGGTCGAGAGAGCAGAAGCATGTACGTAATCAATTTAATATTAGGAGAGACTTCTCATCTTGAATCACGTGCAAAATATTTTCTGAATGATACGCTCGCAACACAATTATTCATCGTGTAATGTAGAATGTCCAACATTTGTACAGAAATAGAAGTACTGGCACGCATCGAAAGTTTTTTTCGATTTCAAATGATTTCACAATCTAAAGCTTATTATATCATTTGTTCAGCGTCATGATGTATTTATGGACCATTGATCCAAGAAATGAAACAAATATATTTACATACACATACATATTGTCTCTTTCTTCCTTTTTTCTATCTCTGCCTCCCCCCCCCCTCTCTCTCTCTCTCTCTCTCTCTCTCTCTCTCTCTCTCTCTCTCTCTCTCTCTCTCTCTGTATTTCTCCAAGATTATTACATCAAAGTTTAGATATTAAGATATTTAATGATGATGATAATGAATTGTGCAAAAAATATATCTTGCAGTTAATCTTCATCGATCACAATATGACAATAAAAGAAACATAACATTTCTAATCCCGTGTATAAGAAATTTTTTAATTCTACAGATGGCTATTATATTTGATATACATCTCGATATTCGTATTTGCATCTTTTAAAGCTGACTTTCACAGACGATCCTGCTACATTTTATATATATGCCATTTTTTATACTTACTTTATTTTAGTAACTTCGAAGCTACTGGCATCATATACGTTGACATCAGACAACTTTATTCGCAAGCTATTTGATGGAGAAACCGATAGTTTCTTCAATATAAAAGGTTCTGTAGAAGGGATATTATATTCCGGCACGCCCACCTTAAGATATGGTTTCAAATCATTTATACTGTTGCTGATACATGTTTCGTATTGCGGATCACGTGTTTGGCAAATATGCAGGAACTCGGCTGCAAGCGTAATTAAAATTATTATTAGACATAATTATTTATGATAATTGATATAGTTATAATTATTTACAACATTATTATTATTATAATTATTATATAAGAACACATTTTTTTAAAGCGGAAAATAAAATAAATACTTATTATTAAATATCGGATATATGAACTTTTGAAATACTTGAAACAAGTAATATTTACTTGTATATAGTATGTATTTTTCTGTGTGTAGGAATTTGTGCCGCTCGATTCTTCTGATCTCTTCTTCTGATTTACAACTACAACATGATTTTATTTTTATAGTATTACACTATCAGTAATGTATTTTCTATTTTGATCAGAAGAATGCATTGATTAATTAGTTATACGCATAATCTGTAATAACTCTGGATCGGTTTTTTGCTTTTCATATGCAAGCGTTTTTCTAACATTTTCCGACATTTACAGCAATAAAAATTTAAATTTAAACCAAGTACATATCAAATTGAATGTCGCATGGAAAATACAATAATCATGCAAGTTCAGAAGGTCTACAAGATCTACAAGGATCTTTTACGCAAAAAAAGATTTCTTTTTATAAAAGTTGCATATTGTTAGGAAAGAAAGGACAATTTTTAAAAATAATCTTGTAGTTGCCAATTTCATCAAAAAAGATGATATCCGGATGCATGTACATGTATATATGTAAGTATTCATGTATAAAGTAACAAAAAATATAAGGGAAAAAGAAAACGCTCTTTCCTAGCCGAGATTTAAATCAAACGCGCAATTATTTAATAACAATATTTTATTATAATGACTCAATATACAGGGTGTCCCCAATTTAAATGTCAAAGCTTTAGGAGCGTGTAGGGGATCGATAAACTAAGACAAAAAGTCCTTTAGAGATTTGCTCGTTTTTGCTTCGTTTTGAAGAAAATCGCAAAAAATGAAACAAATAATTTTCACCAAAAAACTTAAAACAACACTAAAATTATTAGATTTATCAAAAAGTATTATAAAATAAAAATTGTAGAACATGGAATTAAGAAAAGAGAGTGAGTTAAAATTTTCCTGAGGTAAAATTAGAGGATTGTAGATAAATACGCGACAACGCAAAATTTTGTTTCTAATCTAATTTTACCTCAGGAGAATTTTAACTCACTCTCTTTTCTTAATTCCATATTCTACAATTTTTATTTTATAATACTTTTTGATAAATCTAATAATTTTAGTATTGTTTTAAGTTTTTTGGTGAAAATTATTTGTTTCACTTTTTGCGATTTTCTTCAAAACGAAGCAAAAACGAGCAAATCCCTAAAGGGACTTTTGTCTTAGTTTATCGGTCCCCTACACGCTCCTAAAGTTTTGACATTTAAATTGGGGACACTCTGTATATACTCGATATACTATTTTTCGCATCACAGCCATAAAAATTTGCGATAATTTTACATCTGTCAAGCATAAGGATTAAGATACTGGAACAAGAAACTTTGCTAACAAGTTTGTAAATAGATTTAAATAATTAGATTCAAAAATATAAAATAAAAAATTTGTCTCAAGTTTCTAATTCATCGTTAAATTACGAGTATATCAAAGTGCAAGTAGATTCAATAGAAATATTGATTGGAATGATGATTTAACAGTCGAGTCGATTGAGTTGATTGAGTCGAGGATCTTTAACAGTTTGCTTTGTATGAGATAATAATAATATATTAAAGCGAGTTGGCATACATGAGACGCAATAAACCTCTTTTCGAGCCACATGAAAACACATACAATGTTCCTATATTGTGCGGTATATTTTCTTCTTTGAAAAAATCTTATACAGATTTACTTACGTATATCCCGCACAGGTTCCGCGCTAATCGTCGTCACGATAAACAGGATCGCAAAGATTGTTGCCTTCGCTAGTACCATCATTTTTTTCGCGAAAAAAATGGAAAAAAGAGACGGACAGGAAGCTCAACGAACGAATGTGCGTCTTCCGGGCTTGCGAAAGCCTGGACACGGATTTCGACGACGGGGATTGCCGTTGTCGACCCACAGTAGCAGGTGGTTCGAGTATAATCGAACTGGAAATGATCCGAACGGCGATCTGAACGTCTTATAACAGTGACTATTCATCCCCTCTTCTATCGTACATCGCTTCACTCGTCACCTATATAGCAATTCGAAAAGAAAACTATTCTTATTCCCCAGATATCTGCCTTTAGATGGTCGCAGGAAATATGTGCACGTGTCGGCCGCGAAAAACCGAGAACTGACACGTGCAAGCAGACAACCATGTCGTGATGACATCGTTTTTCATGTGGCCTCTGTATCGAAGACAAACGAGAAACGTCTGATCACAAGACCTATCATCACAATCTGTCATCGAGAAATGTTTCATGTGGACGCATAACTCATAGATAAATTATTATA